TTTTTTGTAGATGGACACAACACAATGCCTTTATTTTTATGTGGTGATGAGAATCCAACCCAGGTCCCGCCCGTACTGAGCGAGCGATCTACCGCTGAGCCACAATCCCAGCCCAAATGTCTTGTTTTTTAAAAAGATTTTTTGGTGCATTACAGTTATAYATAAAGCTGGGTTTGCTTTGATAAACCTATACATGCATGGAATGCAATTCGTTTTATTTCAGGCCCCTGTACTTCCTCTTTTCCTCTCTTTCTCCCTCCTCTGTTCCTCTTCTTCTACCCTACTGGTCTTCCTTCTGTTTTTTTTTAATTGTTTTAAAATTAATAATTGATTAATTAATTGGTGTTTTATAGATATACATAAAGGTGGACTGTGATATATTTATATAGGAACATAGGATAATTTGTTCAATTTCATTCCTTAGTTCCTCCCTTTTCCAATTCCTCCTGTCTTCACTCAACCCCCTTCCTCTATGACACTGATCTCTCTTCTGTTTTCATGAGATCTGCCTGCTCCTCCTTTCCTCCTTATTTTACTCAAGCTTCTGCATATGAAAAAAAAAATTAATTCTTGGCTTTCTGAGTCTTGCTTACTTCACTTAGCATGGTGTTCTTTAGTTCCATCCTAAACTGTGTGATTTTTTTTACAGTTAATAAGGGTTTTATTGACCAATTTATAATTTAAAATTATAATAGCTGCTATTCATTGAGCATCTTTTATGTGTCAATATGTGAAGGCAGCTCATTCAGCCCACCGTTCTGTACCTGGATTATATTTAGACTTGCTGCATTGACATAAAACTAAAATTAACAGTCAGATTTCCAAATTTATTGGCCTTAGGAATCAGATTCATCTCCAAAGCCCTCTTTACACAAATTTCTATTCTTAAGTTAAGCCTCCTGTATCCAACCCACTTCAGCAGATTTTCCTTACTTTGAAGCAKGAAAAGTTTTTGCTACACAAATACACTTGGTCTTTTTCCTTCAACAAACCACATGAAATATTGTTACACTGGAAAATGTTTCTGATTTCAGCTCTATGATGGATCAAATCGGATTGGGCGCTACTGCGGAGCAAACATTCCCTTGCCAGGGAGTACCACAGGCTCCAAACTTCAAGTGCTGTTCCATACAGATGGRGTTGGTCATCATGAGAAAGGATTTCAAATGCAGTGGTTCATTCATGGTAAGTCCTGTGCTGATCTTTACTGTATTGTAGTTGTTGCTTAACCAAGAATTGTTCCCTTCCCAATTCTGTCCTTAGAAACAATATCATCAACACCTAAGGCAACCAAAGTAGTAATTTAGTGCTAGGTAAGAGAATGTTACTGTTTTTCTCAGACATTGGTAGAGGTTGAAGAGTTAAATTCTTTTAAAAAATTATTTTTAGTTGTTGTTGGACACAATACATTTATTTATTTATTTATTTATTTATTTTTATGTGATGCTGAGGATTGAACCGAGTGCCTTGCACAGGCTAGGCAAGTGCTCTACCTCTGAGTCACAATCTCAGCCCCAAATTCTTTTTTTTAAATGTCCAATGGGTATTTTTATTTTTAATTTTTTAAAATTAATTAATTTACTTTAATTAGGCATATATGACAGAGAATGCATTTTGATTTATTGTATGCAATTGCAGCACAACTTTTCATTTCTATGGTTGTACATGATGTAGTGTCATGTCATATGTACAGACATACATGTACCTAGGGTGATGATGTCCATCTCATTCCAGCATCCTTCCTGCCCCCATGCATCCTTCCTCCCCTTTCTCCCCTTTGCCCAATCAMGTTCCTCAATTTTTACCATGCCTCCCCCATCCCTGTTATGGATCAGCATCCACTTATCAGAGAGAACATTCGACCTTTGGTTTTTTGGGATTGGCTTACTTCACTTAGCATGATATTCTTCAGCTCCATTCATTTACCTGCAAATGCCATAATTTTATTCTCTTTTAATGATGAGTAATATTCCATTGTGTGTATATACCACAGTTTCATGCTTTATTCATCCATTGAAGGGCATTTAGGTTGCTTCAGAAAGAGCAACATTCTGAGAGGGTTCAGAGAGGAGAGTGATGTCAAAGATGGAAAGAATTTGGATAGCTGCTTAAGTAGGCACAATGATAAATGTCTTTGAGAAAGAAGGAAGCCCAATGAAATGTGTGTATTTGGGTATAGCAAGCACACTGCAGGGTGGGATGGGAGTTTTGCAGGTACAACAGTAGCATGAGACCTAAAGCCCACCTTGACATTAAGCAGAGGAAGAAAGATAGGGACACATCAGAGAGATCTGGGAAGGGGAAGAGTGGAGCTGAGGGGAGGAACAGGGCAGAAATTTATGCTGAACAAATGAAGCCAGRTGTGCATTGCACCTGCCAAACAGGGTAGGGGCCCATTGGAGCCCACCGACATACTGGAAAAGTCACTTTTGTGTTTTATTTTATTTTTGGTATTGGAGATTGAACCTAGGGGTACTTCGCCACTTAATTATATTCCTTTTTTAATTTTTTTTTTAAATTTTGAGACAGTTATTTCTAAGTTGCTGAGGGTTTCACTAAGTTTCTGAGGCTGGCCTCGAACTTGTACTCCTCCTTCYTCAGCCTCCCAAGTTTCTGGGATTACTACCATGCCTGGCTGAAAAGTAAATTCTTAAAAAATGTGTTCCTTTTAAATATACATGACAGTGAGTGCATTTTAACATATTATACATACATGGAGTATAACTTATTCTAATTAGGATCCTATTCTTGTGGTTGTACATGATGTGGAGTACCCTGGTCATGTATTCATATATAAGGATAGGAAAGTCATGTCCAATTCATTCTACTGCTTCTCCTATTCCCATCCCTCCACCCTTCCCTTCATTCCCCTTTATCTAATCCAGTGGACTTCTGTTTTTCCCTCCCCACCCCCTTTATTGTGGGTTAGCACCTACATATCAGAAAGAACATTTGGCCTTTGTTTTTTGGGGGACTGGATTATCTCACTTAGCATGATATTCTCTAGTTCCATCCATTTACTGGCAAATGCTATAATTTTATTCTTCTTCATGGTTGAGTAACACTCCATTGTATATATATATATGCACTACATTTTCTTTATCCATTCATCTGTTGAAGGACACCTAGGTTGGTTCCATAGCTTAGCTATTATGAATTGAGCTACTATAAACACTGATGTGAGTGCATCACTGTGGTATTCTGATTTTAAGTCCTTTGGGTACAGGTCAAGGAGTGGGATAACTGGGGCAAGTGGTGGTTCCATTCCAAGTTGAAAAGTCATTTTTAACAAGACATCTGAGACTTCAAGACTGATGTCCTGTGGGTCAGAGCTGAGGTTCTCAAAAYGTGGCCCCCAAGAGCAGCAGCAGGATCACCARGAACTTGTTAGAAATGCAAATTCTTGGACCCCTGCCAGAACTGTTATGTTATAAACTCTAAGTTAGGTCCAATAATCTGTGTCTTAACTGGTCTCCCAGAAATTAAAGTTTGAAAACCACTAATCTAGGGTGATCCATCCCTTGTGGATATTATAGCTGCTCTTCTCAACCAAGATATTAGGACTCATTGGTTTATTTCAGTCAGTGGAAGGGAGAAATGGAATTGTGATACAATACCTAGAATCAAGCAAAATCACACAGTTGTCTAATCTGTGGTCCTATGGTCAAAACTGGAGGTAAACCTAAGTGTGCTGTGGTTGGCTCATGGGAGTCTCAGAGCTACACACCAGTGCCTGTTACAGATACCCTGTTTATTAGGACATAATACTTTTCATTTACAATGGGTTTATATCCCAATAAACCCATTATAAACTGAAAATATCTAAGTTACTGAGGATTTCACTAAGTTGCCGAGGCTGCCCTCAAACTTGTACTTCTCCTTCCTCAGCTTCCCAAGTTTCTGTGCTACCAAATCAAATATGCATTTAATACATCTGATCTGCTGAACATGGTAACAGCCTAGCCTACTTTAAACATGCTCAAAACATATTAACCCTAAAACTGGGCAAAAATCATCCTACCTGTAACATCTATTTTGTTATAATAAAGTGTTGAATATGAAATTCAAAATTCAAAGTATGGTTTCTATTGGATGCTTATCACTTTCACGCCATCATATTAAAAAAATTTATTAACTCAAACCCTTGTAAGTCAGGGGACCATCTGTATATACTTAAAAKTGTTGGATCTTCTGAGGTTACAAATACTAAGTGTATTTCTGKTAAAATGTAAGTATGAGGTTCTCAACATTTAAAAACAGTCAGTGGTGATCCACAGAGATTCTTGTAGCTTAAAACATAAATGATGAATTCCTAAGGTAAATAGGCTATGATAATTAAGTTCTAGATTTTCCTCTTCATCAAGTAGGCAAGTTTAATCTTAGAATGCTCAACACTTTGGACTATTAATGTGAAAGAATTGGACCAATTCATTGCTACAGCATAGTCTTTAGTACTCTGGATTCAGAAACATGGTTATGATTCTAAGTAAACCTGAGACAATATGAGAGAACATAGAAAGGACAGAAAATCTTGGAAAATAACCCATTTTTCAATGGCTAGGGATATTCTTCTCCAGAGCAGTGTTCCTTAGTTTTTTCATGTGCACAGAATTGCTCCCTTCTTTCCTTCCTTTTTTCTTTTTCCTCTCTCKTTTTCTTTTTTGCTGTGCTTGGGATCAAATCCAGGGCATTATACATATGAGGCAAGGACTCTCCCACAGAACTATACCCCCAGCCCTCACTGGGCATCTTGTAATAAGAAAGGTTCTGATTTAAGAGGCCTGTGAACCTGCATCTCTAGTAGGGTCCCAAGTGATGCCAATGGTGCTGCTCTCTGGACCTCACTTTGAGGAGCAAGGCAAGAACAGATGTGAAGCCCGGAGAAATGAAAGGCAGGAAGGCATTATCCTTAYGACTGATGAATCCTGAGGTGTTCCAAGGGCACATTGTCCTAACAGTTTGTTTAATRGCAGTAGGATGGTAACTGTGATCCCTGCAAGCTATTTCAAAGCTACAAAGGGGAGGAAACTTCCCCAGGGGAGAAGTTATGAAGGGAAGTGCTCACCTGGGCTCAAGATCTCAGRAGATGTCCTAATCCTGGAGCCATATTGGAATTACCAAGAAGTTTCAAAAAGTACCCATTCCTGGGTTCCAACTCCCAGAGCTGGGATTCAGTTGGTCAGTGGCTGATGRTGGATAAATTTTTAAAGACTCCCTAGGTAACTTGGCCTTGCAGACAGGATGAGTTTCAGAAGCAGTGATTTTGCTGGTTGTATCTTGCTGCCCAGGCTGTGTGGCCATACTAGCCCCTGGCCACCCTGAGAACCTGATCAAATGGTCCTTGTTGGCTACACCCAAAKGACTGTATCACTGGGTTCTTCTAGCCAACATAATGGAATCCTCTGATGAAAGCTCTTAGTTTTTACCGGGAAAAGTTTTTCTACCAGTTCTGTTTGGAATCTGCCTTCTTTTGGGAGAGTCAAAGGCACCCTCTGTCTATTCTCTTTTCCTGTTTACTGTTTCAAAACTTTCCCCCAGTTGCCGAAAACTCACTAAACTTGGAGCCAGAGTTGTGCAACAACATTTTGCTAGTTGGGACCAAAACTGGAAGAAAAAAAAAATTAACTCTGTGTTGCCCATTTAATTATACTTGGTAAGCATCTTTAGGAAGGGGATTGCCAGTAGCTTATATATGTGCAAAATTAACTGTGATGCATACTGCATTTATGCAATGCCACAAGTACACAAAGTTTATGATCCTCATCCGAACTGTGTAACTGCAGAATTGCAGCCCTTAAGGAGACTGGGTTGCTGAGCAGTGGCCACAATAGGTGAATCCCATAAGGCAGGGACTCTGGCAGGCAAAGGGGCCACACCGTCTTTCCTCATGCAAATCCTTCATAYTTCATAAAAAATGTATTTTAAGTAKGGTCTCAAATAATTGGAGCAGTATGGTAAGTGGTGGAACTCTGACTCTGGAATAAAATAMAAAATGCAGAATAAATGTTAAAGTTATAGTCATGAATTGCTTAATGATGGGGATATATTCTGAGAAATGCAGTTAGCCAGATTCATCATTTTRTATGAACAATGTAGAGTATATTAACGCTAAATGAAACAGCTACCATGTCACTTAGTAATGTAATCTTATRGGATCACCATGGTATATGAGGTCCAACGTTAAC